AATTTGGAAGAGCCTGAGATGAAAAACATATGCTACTTATAACCTGGGCTCTGTGGTGCAATGGAGTTGGACTTCGAGGTTCCTCCCTGGAACTACTCAAAGTTTCTTGGTTTAAGTTCCTCCAGAGTCATTTGCTTGCACGTGGGTGTTGCTTGTTAGTTTTAGTAGAGGGTATCCTGTTGAATATGGAATTTCCCTACTCTCCATCTTAGATGGAACGCTTTGTTGGCCCCAGGTGAAAACAACGTCATCAAGTTCCCCATGTTTCTACTCATTGGTCTTCAAAGGAGTATCTCCAGGAATATGGTTGGTGACCAATGGTCTGGGTTATCTTTTTTTTAATCTGACACGACAGAATGTGCATTTCGTGGCTGGTTCAGCAGATGCCTTCATATGTCTTCTATGTCTGCTTGCCGTTGGCATACAGCTTAGCTTGATTAAGAGTCAACAATCAGTTTAACATTACTGAACTTGAACACTATGGTGCTGTGGCTTAGTTGGTTAAAGTGCCTGTCTAGTAAACTGGAGATCTTGGGTTCAAATCCCAGCGGTGCCTGATGTAGGAGCACACTTTTCTTTCAAGACCAATGCCTTCCATCTCTTTGTTACAGAAAGGAGTAAACACCAGCAGGCACAGATTGGTGAGTGCTATGCCCTCACTCAATTTGGAAGAATCTGAGATGAAACACGTTATTAACTGGGCTCTGTGGCGCAATGGATCGCGCTTTGGACTTCTATGTTCAACATTGGAGCTATTCAAAGGTTGTGGGTTCAAGTCCCTCCAGAGTCATTCGCAGAGAGGTTTGCTGTTTTTTTTTCTATACGAGATTGGGTATTTTGTTGAATGTGACAATTCCCTACTCTCCATCTTAGTTGGAATGCTTTGTTGGCCCCTGTTGAAACCAATGTCATCAGGGTCCCCATGTTTCTACTCATTTGGACAAATTGACACTGAAATTGTGCTAAAATTAAATACCTAGAAAATACCCATGACATGGGTTCATGCCATAATTTGTGCTCACACATCCAAACCCCAAACTAGCATTCTTCTTACTTAAGATTACCAACATGTGCTGAGTACCCTCAGAGCAATTATGTCAACAGAATGTTGCTGATATTTTTGTAAAGACTATGGCTGGAGATCAGATAGAATTTTCTCTTTGGTAAGTCGCTTTGCTTAAAAGTGTCTGCTTAATGAATAAACGTAAATGTAATATTTGATCTGCTGTGGCTTGTGTGCTGTTTGTGGATAAATATCTTGACCTATGTTTGTTGTTTATCAGAGGTTGACGATCCTCGCATTCCTCAAACCTGCGGTAGGAGCAGCATTTTGTCACAAGCAACATATCTGCATATGCCAGATCAGCATCTGTGTAGGATGCCTATGTCCAGGCTACTTTAGATTGAGCTAAGGTCTTCAAAGCAGGATCTCCTAGAACAGAGTTGGTGAAAATACCCATGACATGGGTTCATGCCATAATTTCATGCCATAATTTGTGCTCACACATCCAAACCACAAACTAGCATTCTTCTTGCCCAAGATTACCAACATGTGCTGAGTACCCTCAGAGCAGTTATGTCAACAGAATGTTGCTGATATGTTTGTAAAGACTATGGCTGGAGATCAGATAGTACTTTGCTTGTATTTTCTCTTTGGTAAGTCGCTTTTGATAAAAGCGTCTGCTTAATGAATAAACATAAACGTAATATTTGATCTGCCATGGCTTGTGTGCTGTTTGTGGATAAATATCTTGACCTATGTTTGTAGTTTATCAGAGGTTGAGTATCATAGCATTCCTCAAACCCACGGTAGGAGCAGCATTTTGTCACAAGCAAAATACCTGCATATGCCAGATCAGCATCTGTGTAGGATGCCTATGTCTAGACTACTTTAGACGGATCTAAGGTCTTCAAAAGAAGCTCTCCAGGAACAGGGTTGGTGACCACTGGTCTAGGCTATGTTTTTCACAATCTGCTACACCAGAATGTACATTGCATGGCTGGTGAAGTAGATGCCTTAACAGGCTATCTAAGCGTGCGTGGCATTTGAGTAACGCGTAGCTTGATTAAGAGCCAACATTCTATGCGGGTGGAAGGGGCCATAGCGCTGTGGCACTGTGGCTTAGTTGAATAAAGCACCTAGACTCAGCACCTCAACTATCTACACTACGGGAACTTTTCAGTAATTGCAACCTTTAGAATCTGGTTGGAAATGGAGATACCATGCCAGGATGCTAAATGGGCTGTCAAGCAAAAGAGAAATCCAGGGTTTGAATCTCTTCAGTGCCTGTTAGAAGACTCTTTTGTTTCTACATGAGCTATGCCTTTCTTATAGCCTGAGATGAAACATAGCACAAGCAAGCCAATATGGGTTCTGTGGCACACTTAATGGTGAATTCCAGGAGGGGCATTGGTGCCATTAAAAGATAGGACCTGCCAGAGTTAATTTCTTTCAGACATGTGTTGCATGTAGAATTCAAGTCCTATCAACAGAAAAAAAACACTTGTTTTAACAAACAAGAAAAGGAAAGCACTATAACAAAGAGAAAGTTGAACTTTGGTCCTATCTATTATGTTGTCCAGTTTCAACTGAACCCTATTGTTTTCTGTTTAACTACCTTGTTCGAATTTTCCTTTACAACTAGTAGCCTTGTGACCATCATGTCACTTGCAATTTGTTACCAGCATAACTCTTATTCATGAGGCTCACTCTGAAGTGCTGTCTTGGTTAAAAGAATGCCTTGCTTGTCATGGTATGAGAATAATTTGAATAGCATCAGCATATTTAATTAAACTTGTCTTTTCTGCACAAGGAGACCAAATGACTATCAAACAAGTTAGTTCCACTCACAAACAGACGTGCAATCTTGGCTCTGTATGACTCGCAAGAAGCAGCATTATTTCACTGTTGCCACTGATTCTGACACATCATCTGACACATATAATGACACAAAGGCCTCGTACAAGTGGTAAATGTGTGAAGTTACCCAAAAGAAAGTTGAACCATGGTTCTATCACATAGGCAGTTGAGTCTCTAAGTTGAGCTATGGCTTACTTGCTGTGACCTCGTGGCGCAACGGTAGCGCGTCTGACTCCAGATCTGACGGTTGCGTGTTCAAATCATGTCGTGGTCATTGAGGATGCTCTTTTGCACATGGACTACTGATATTCTGCACAGTCTAATACGGATACTATCATATGGACTCGAATCTCTGTGATGACCATCCACGTCTTTGTCAACCTCATGCTAAAAGGTGACAAAGCTCAGCTAGCAACTCTTTCACCTAAGAATCATCAGTAACTTAGTCTTCTGACACATATAATGACACAAAGGCCTCGTACAAGTGGTAAATGTGTGAAGTTACGCAAAAGAAAGTTGAACCATGGTTCTGTCACATAGGCAGTTGAGTCTCTAAGTTGCGCTTCAGGTATAAGTTGTCCACGCTTCACTCTCATGCACTGAGGTGAGATCTGCCATTTGAGCTTGAAAATCTCCCTTAAAGTCAAGGGAAGGGGAAGCCAGTCAGGTTATGCCGTGAAAGGGCTTGTGCCTTGTCTTCTGAAGAAACTCTTGCCCAGATGTCAGACTCTAGTCACAAAAGTCACAGCCCACCACTTGTCTCTGAGTTCCAATGTGTCTTGATCAGTGCAACCATGAACAAATATGCCTTGCACCATGATGCGCTATGGCTTATTTGCTGTGACCTCGTGGCGTAAACGCGTTCTGACTCCAGATCAGAAGGTTGCGTGTTCAAATCACGTCGTGGTCATTGAGGATGCTCTTTTGCACACTGATATTCTGCACAGTCTAATACGGATAGTATCATATGGACTCGAATCTCTGTGATGACCATCCACGTCCTTGTCAACCTCATGCTAAAAGGTGACAAAGTTCAGCTAGCAACTCTTTCACCTAAGAATCATCAGTAACTTAGCAACCTGCTGTATATTTTCCTTTACAACTAGTAGACTTTTGACCATCATGTCACTTGAAAATTGTTACCAGCATAACTCTTATTCATGAGGCTAACTCTGAGGTCTTGTTTGTTTTCAAAAATGCCTTGCTTGTCATGGTATGAGGATAATTTGAATAGCATCAGCATATTTAATTAAACTTGTCTTTTTGACACAAGGAGACCAAATGACTATCAAACAAGGTAGTTCCACTCACAAACAGACGTGCAATCTTGGCTCTGTATGACTCTCGCAGAAGCAGCTTTATTCCACCGTTGACACTGATTCTGACACATCATCTGACACATCATCTGACACATATAATGACACAAAGGCCTCGTACAAGTGGTAAATGTGTGAAGTTACCCAAAAGAAAGTTGAACCATGGTTCTATCACATAGGCAGTTGAGTCTCTAAGTTGTGCTTCAGGTATAAGTTGTCCACGCTTCACTCTCATGCACTGAGGTGAGATCTGCCATTTGAGCTTGAAAATCTCCCTTAAAGTCAAGGGAAGGGGAAGCCAGTCAGGTTATGCCGTGAAAGGGCTTGTGCCTTTTCTTCTGAAGAAACTCTTGCCCAGATGTCAGACTCTAGTCACAAAAGTCACAGCCCACCACTTGTCTCTGAGTTCCAATGTGTCTTGATCAGTGCAACCATGAACAAGTATGCCTTGCACCATGATGCGCTATGGATTTCCTGCTGGTAGCGCGTCTGACTCCAGATCAGAAGGTTGTGTGTTCAAATCACATCTGGGTCATTGAGTGTGCTCTTGTTCACACAGACTGTTGATTTTCTGCACAGTCTAATACGGATACTATCATATGGACTCGAATCTCTGTGATGACCATCCACGTCTTTGTCAAGCTCATGCTTAAAGGTGACAAAGTTCAGCTAGCAACTCTTTCAACTAAGAATCATCAGTAACTTAGCAACCTGCTGTATGTTTCCTTAGTTTACAGATTGTGCTTGCTGAACAAAATATACCTGAGGATTGCACTTTTGTTGTTTTCACTGGCCCTCTCAGACAACTTGGAGGGTTAAACAAGCACCCAAACAGGGACTTGAACCCTGGACCCTCAGATTAAAAGTCTGATGCTCTACCGACTCTGTGAAAAACAGGGCAAAAGGGACTGCTCGGCATGGGGGAAAAGGGGGGGAAAGGGGGAAGGGAGGGAAAGAGGGAGGAGGGAGTGAAAGTGTTTCTATCCATCCATCCATCTTCTACCGCTTATCTTTTTGAGGGTCACGTGGAACCTGGAGCCTATCCCAAGGAGCGGGTACAGCCTAACAGGGTGCCAATTGAAAGTGCCCGATGTCTCCTGGGATAGGCCAGGTTCCCGCGGACCCTGAAAAGGAGTAAGCTGTGAGGATGGATGGATTTGATGGATGGATGTTAATTTCTATTCAGTTATTTGCAGTGTTCTCAAAAATGACAGTTAATAACAGTTAAAAATTATCTTAACTTGTTTTTACGTCATTTTTTCCAGGATGTCACAGTTAAATTCCCCCACAAGCTCATCCCTAACAGATATACCAATAATACTTGATCAACATGAAAGACACACTTGTTTTCCCAAATCCTCTTTATTACATAAGCTCAGATTTAACATACAAACATCAGTAACGTATAAACATAGTAGTAACGTATAAACATCAGTAACGTATAAACATTAGTAACATATAAACATCAGTAACGTATAAACATTAGTAACATATAAACATCAGTAAGCTTATAAACATTAGTTATAATATAAAAAATTTGTTATTGAACAAAGTGGCACACAAAGTCAGTTTTAAAGGGGTGGCTTCCACTCTGTGATGGTTTGCCCAGATTCCGGACAGTACCATTTCCCCTCAACTGGGTATGGCCAGAAAGTTTGTTTTTTGCTGACCACAGTCTTTACACCGATAGTGGTAGCCTTCGTTGTAGTGCCGCTTTTAGGCGGTTCCCCTTAGCCACACCTCCTCCTGATCCTCAAGTACTGTCTTTCGCAGTTTCCCCTCACGGTGACGATTCCGAGAGGGTGCTGCCAAGATAGGAGCTGACGGTTGTCCCTGTGGATAGGTCGACCATCCCTGAGGGACTGGCTCTGGAGCTGATTGTTGTAACTGTGGATAGGTCAACCATGCCTGAGAGAGTGGCGCGGATTTGGTGGTTGTCCCAGTGGATATGGCGGCCATGCCTGAGAGAGTGGCGCTTGGATTTGGTGGTTGTCCCAGTGGATAGGGCGGCCATGCCTGAGAGAGTGGCGCTGGATTTGGTGGTTGTCCCTGTGTATAGGGCGGCCATGCCTAGAGAGTGGCGCTGGATTTGGTGGTTGTCCCTGTGGATAGGGTGACCAGCCAGAAGAACTGAGCCTGCCGGAATCCCACTCAGGACAATTCTGTGTCCCAGGCCGTAAAGATGTCCTACCCCAGTGTGTGTGTGCATGGTGGAAGACACTGCAGTCCCAGTTCTGCCACAGTGACGTCGGTCGAATCATTGCCTCACCCTCATGGTTTTCAGGCTCTTTGAACTCCATGACTGCATGTCCATGCTCCACAGGTGAAGATGGGAGACACTCTAGCATTTGGCAGGGAATCTTTGGCCGAATTTACCTGCTGAGAAAGCTGCACCCTCACAGCAAATCTCTCCTCTTTTTTTTTTGGAAGAGGGGGGGGGATCTTGATGCTTCACGTTTAATTTACGTATAAAAATTGCTGGTAATTATTATTCATAAAAAAAAAAATTTTAAAAAAAAAAAAAATTATATTGTTCTTACTAGCACTAAGTTGGTCTGGTACACGGTAACTCTCTGCAGTCTTCAAGCAGCTGTTTGATGTGACTGTATGTCATGACAATTGCCTGGGGGGGAGAAAGGTTTTCCCCTTGTTATCTTTTGGCCTATTTCTGGCTTCCCGATATTCTTTCAGAAGCCTGAGCTGGCAACACATTCCCAAACCCTGTTTACATCAGGTCTCTGGGCAGCCTGGCCATGAGTCATGAACAGTCTGTGAATAAAAAGATAGAAGAAAGTAATCAATATTCTGCTGCTGTTCCAGAATATCATACAGCTGTGATTCAGCCACAGGCCAAGGGCCACAGGTAATCACAACCATTCTGATAGTCAAGAACAACACACATGCTCATGTGACATTGGCTTTTTATACAAAAGTTCTATAAACAAGAAGTTAATATTGAGTAACATATATTTTAGACACAATATTGCCAGTTATGAAAGCACAATACCGCACAAAGTGAACATTGATACAATGAAAAGTCCCAGTGCTGTTACCAGCTAAATATCAGCATTCTTAAACTGCCTCCCAGCCAACCAAATTGAATTAACTGTTGTTTAATGAGATAAAATGGATCATACTAATTATGTTTGTAAATTACAAAATGTGTGCATCCACTAAGAGTTTAATTCACCTCTCAGCTGCTTGCTGACCAGGTGCCGAGCCACTTTCTCTTCGGGAAGCTCTCCAAGGTCCTGGCAAGGTCTTCTTCTTACATTTAAGCAAATATCTAGTTGGAGACTGGTCACTGGTCATGCAGACAAGGATACCAACCTCACAATCTGAGATATCTCAATGGTTGACAAAGCAGTTATAGTGCGGTTGAGACCAACAAGGTACTCTGCCAAGTTATCCACTGCCTCCCATCCAGGAACACCCCTGTAAATTACACCGACCATCCTGAAAAAGTAGATGGACACACAAAAAAAACAAATCCTAAATTATAAAAGTATAATAAAATTTCAGTAACAGTTCTGTGATAAACTATTCTTCACAATTCACAAATGATCAAGTGTTCGCCACTTTCCGGTGCTGATGGGCGAGGAACACCAGAGCTAATGTCCTCAATGTCACTGTCAGGAAAGTGTAGAGCCATCACTTGCAACACTGGTTTCCTAGATTATTTAGTTGTAAACATGTGAGAGAGAGAACTCGGGTTGTAAAAATGATTACTTGTAGATTAATCACACAACAACTCATTCATAGCACCTGTAAAGTAATTTTTCATAGGTAATTTTACTGACTGAAAATCAAAAAGTGTCACATTACCTGAGATGATGAGTTGAATGAATCAACATGCGTGTTAAGACAGCTGGGGGGTGTGAAGTGTTGAAACTGAGATCAGCCGGATCACATATTGTAACATCTGGATGTGTCTCATCCTCCTGGCTTTCAACCTGCATCTCTGGCAGAGCGCGATACCCATTTCACCATGCTGCAGCGGAACCAGCAGGTCTCCCCTGTCAGACTGTGCCAGCAAGTACTCCACAGCTATACGCTCACCTGCCATAAAGAACCATAAAACATTCTGAATTGAGAGGAATAGATCAGAGTAAGTAACAAGCCTGGCATATTTATTGAATGTAGCGCTGTTAATGAATACTCAGTTATTTGACATTAGTTTAATCACTCACAAAAAAATGTAATCAATTAAAAAATAAAATCACACAGACAGAAGAACGCAACCTAAACGAAACGCATTCAACGTAACATTCGGACACATCATATATCACTGTTATGGTATCACTTGTTACAGTCGGTCATATTGCCAGTATGCATTGTAGTCCAGCTTCTAAACAGCACAAATTTTGTGTTGAGTGTTACCGTGGGTTTTCCCAGGGGGTATGAATTCTGGCAGGAGTGCACATTCGAGGACTCTGTTGCTGAGGAGCGTTCAAGTGAGACATCAAACGCACATCATAGATTTTAGTTTGTAATGTACCACTCCTATCCACAGCTTGATAAGCTCGGTTGATGTTCCATCTAGATGCCCCCTTAAGCATGTACATCTGAGTGTGCAGAGCATTACATCTCCACCCTGAAAAGACAAGATGTTTCACATTATTTAAATACTAATTGCATTTAGTAAATTATTTCCCCTACTTAGTTAATATATATATATATATGTATATATATATATATATATATATATATATATATATATATATATATAATATATATATATATATATATATATATATATATATATATATATATACAGTATATATATATATTTTCCCCAGAGACAA